TGCAATGTACCATTTTAATAGAAGCTGCATCCACTTAGTTGAATGTACCATTTTAATACAAGCTGCATCCACTCTGTTGCAATGTACCATTTTAATAGAAGCTGCATCCACTCTGTTGTAATGTACCATTTTAATAGAAGCTGCATCCACTTAGTTGCAATGTACCATTTTAATAGAAGCTACATCCACTCTGTTGCAATGTACCATTTTAATAGAAGCTGCAACCACTCTGTTGCAATGTACCATTTTAATAGAAGCTACATCTACTCTGTTAAAATGTACCATTTTAATAGAAGCTGCATCCACTTAGTTGCAATGTACCATTTTAATAGAAGCTACATCCACTCCGTTGTAAGGTACCATTTTAATAGAAGCTGCTATGTATCAAAATCATCATGCTTTTTTTTGTTTACAGGTCATGGTTTTATTTTGCTGTCAAAGGTGGATATTCTGGTAAACTTTTAAAAATTAATGTGATGAACATGAATAAACAGGGCAAGTTGTACAGCCAGGGTATGTCACCAGTGGTCAGAACAATGCCGTGTAAACCACGATGGGAAAGAATACGTGATAGGCCAACTTATGAGGTATGTGTATTGTTCAATTAAAAAAAGTTGCAAAAGTCTGCTGGGCTTCCATTTTTTATACTGGTTGTTCAATGATACTGTCAAATCTGTATTAGAAGCCGCATCCGTAATAGAGTCGCACCCATTTCTTTTGAATATTTGAGAACCAAAAATTCACCATTTCTCATATGTGTAGATTCTCTAATAGAAGCCACATTCCCTCTGTTGTACCATTTTAATAGAAGCTAATACAGATTTTTCAGTAATATCTGAATTTCATTGTGTGTTGTATGCTAATATGCCGTGTAAAAAAGTTTGAATACAAATAAATGGATGTCCTATGGCTTTAGTTTTGAATTGAAGACAAAGTGATTAAGGGGCGGTAGTCATCGCCCCCACGTATGCGCAAGATATATGGGTCTCATATAAAGAAAGATAGAGTACAAACTGAGACGTTACCAAGCTTTAATTAGCTATTTTTAAGGGATTTTAAGGTATCATATTGGCATTGGATTGTGGGAAAATCAATGTTTTTCAACACAAATGTCGCACATGTGCAGTGCGACGACCACCGCCCTTTAATACATACCGTACTCGTCCAACTTTAGTGCCCAGGGTACTCAGTTTGGAAAATTATTTTTTCAGGGGTGAATGCTTAGTTGAACACCCATCTGGAAAAATACAATTTTCGGTCACCATGTGCCAGATTTGAAGGACTATTTTGTATTTTGGGGGAAAATAAACTACACTTTTATTAAAGCCGAAACAGAAATGATCACAAAAAATATGCATATTTTATTACAGTATTAATTACATACCATCAGAATTTATGGTGTAAAATTATTAATCTGTGGGAAAATGGTTGAAATAAAGAGATTCATCATTATTTTTATTGTTGAATATTATAGATTGTACAAAAAATCATGATGCAAAGTAATTTCCGCCATGGTGTTTTTCTGAAAGATTTGTCATACAACTCAATTCAAAGTTAGCTGTCAGCTTATAGTGGGTAATTTCAGACATGGTGTTTTTCTGAAAGATTTGTCATACAACTCAATTCAAAGTTAGCTGTCAGCTTATAGTGGGTAATTTCAGCCATGGTGTTTTTCCTGAAAGATTTGTCATACAACTCAATTCAAAGTTAGCTGTCAGCTTATAGTGGGTAATTTCAGCCA